CCGACGCCGCAGCTGCAGCCGCAACCGGTCGCCTCCTATCGTTCCACTATCCTCCCTCGAGCCTCGTCCATTTGGTGCGCTGGCAAACCTATTGCAGAAATTACCCCTAATCTCATTAAATCTTGTCGCATACCTGTGTTGCCCTGAGGTCAGGTATAAATGAACGTGGTTTTGTCCTTGCCAATTTCAAGTGTACAATTTAGTACCATTCAACGCGTATGATCTTTTCAGGCATCATTTGCAGGATTATCGAAATAATATTTTATATGCAAAATAATTCAATATGTTCATATGTATCTTCTTTAGGATTTTGTATTATATATATATATATATATATGTATCTCACTTGTATTTTTTTTATTAATTAAGAGAAGAGATACTATTCATTATTTCTTGAAAATATATTTCTTTGATATATTTGATATATTAGATATGGATTCGTTAACGAAGTTATATATATGTATGTTTGCATATGATATGTTTACATAGAAAGTTGGAATCTTGCATATATGTGTATTTCCATTATTGGAAATATTAAATCGTGCAATATCAAATTTCTAATTATTTGCTTGATTCAATTAAAATAGACAATCATTCAAAATGGATTGTAAAATTTAAAACATGATATACGAATTAAAAAAATACTTTATATTATACAAAAAAAAAGATTTTTATAAACTGTGTTCTTCAAAAATCAAAATCATTTGAATTTTTTTTGTGTTATTTTTGGAATATATATTTATATATATATTTGTAAATGGATTTTTTTTATTACTTTATTTTTTTTTTAATTTTTCAATTTTTGCAATGATTGATTAAATTCCTTTAAGAATTATATTTATATTATTCATATCATTTTTTTAAATAGAAGAACATTTGAACTCAAATAAAATTTTATATTTCAATAAAAGTATTATATAAATAAAATTATTAAATTGACAATTTGAAATTGCATAAGACTTGATACTATCAGTTAGTTAACATCTCTTTAAATAATTAAGCTTCCTGCAAATAGAATTTCTGGGTACTTCTTAATCAATGTTCAACAAGTTTAGAAGTAATCAAACTTTTATCAATCAATTTTTAGTTACCATTTTCTATATATAATCAAGCTTCAATTATATTAATTATATCAAGAAAATATTTACATTCATCAATTCATTTTTTTTTAAAAACTTGAAATTTTATTAAAATTTAAAAATTTAAATCAAATTTTTAATCAAATTTAAACAATTTTTTTTTCAAAATCAATATTGATTTTTCATTCCATTTAATTATTAACATTATAACAAAAACTATATTAATTCTATATTAATTTATGAATAATATAATGTGATGTTTTTTTTTTAATTGAAATAATAAATATTTTAAAAATTTATTGTAGAAATAATTTTTTATGAATTATTAAAAAGAGCGTTTTGTTATTTATATTTCTAGATAAATGAAATAAAAGTTATATTTCAGTGATCGCGTGTTAATTAATATGGAAAAATGTAAATATGAGGGGGTTGCTAAGGGTGAATGAGGGTGAATGTGTAAATAAGTGTCACCCTTTGTTTACGGATATATAAGAAGGCCTATGAAAAGATTATTTTTCACAATTTTTCTAATATTAATTTCTGCTAATATTAAACTTTTTAATATAATGGTATGATTTATTTACAATTTTTTTCTATGAAAAACTATTATAAGAAAATATTAAAAATACTTATTAATATTTAGAGAATAAGAAAAAATTTAGAAAAAAAAAGTATGTATAAGTACGAATCTAATTCTTTTTATATTTTATATTTTTCTTTTATTAAAATTTTGATATCTTAAATTATATATAAATTATTTTTTTTTAAATTAAAATTTTGGTACTTAAATTTAATATTGAAAAATACTTTATAAAAAAAAAAAAAGAAAAAAAATTATAGCAAACAATATATTCTCATTCTTAAATTTCAAGATTCAAAATAACAGAAAAGATATTATTTGTTTTGATATCTATTAGATTTTATAAATTAAAAAATATATATAATGAATTTAATTGATTAATAACTAAGATTAAAAAAATCTAATACTATATATATACATTAATATGTTTCAATATTTTTAATAATGAATTCCTTTATATCTTTTTATTTAAATTATTCAATTTATATTTATAATTTTCTCCAATTAAAGATTTTATCACTTGATAAACTAAGAATTTATTTATTTAATTTAATATTTCAGTTTTGTTTTAGAATAAATATATTTTATTATTCAGCAAGATTCTATTGTAATAAATTTAATACGATTTTCGATAACTTTATTTGAAATTTTTTATTGTTTTCAAACTTTTCAACTAGTAAATAAAAATAAAATATACTATCTATACTATCAATTGATCGATTATTTAAAAAAAAAGGAAAGAATGAATTGAAACGAGAAACAACGTGGTGAATATTCGGTGAGAAAAGTACGGACAGAAATTGCGGCCACGAACGAAGCACAACTATGAATCGTTGTACTCCAGTGTCGTGCAGCGTTGTATGTGAAGCATACAAGCGAAAGATAGAAGGATTCGCAGCCGCTCCAGTTGAAGCATTGTACCGTGGTTACCAGAGATAAGGCATGAAATTAAATTCGACGGAATGTGGGTCGTCGTGGCATCCCTCCTTTCGCGACCATCCTACGTCGATGCACACAAATATCCTCCGCCTCGTCATCGTCGTCGTCATCATTGACTATATTCTCGCGAAAGTCATGGTACAAGTAACTTCAGAATCATTGATCAATCATAGAAATAAATAATCATCTAAGAATCAATAAAAAAAAAGTTTTTCAAAATTTTGGAAATTAAAATAAAAGAAATCGTTCAAGGATATTAAAAAATATATTAAAGTGAATTAAATTTATTCTGAATTATTTTAATGAAATTGAAATCAAATAATTGCTGGGAATACATTAAATTATAAATTAGTTTGAAACTAATATTTTATTTGGTTACTATGTAACGAGCTATTAAATTCGAGCTATTAAAAATATTGTTTAATATAATGTTACTTGATCGAGTTATGAAAGGCTCTATATATTTCGCAGAACGAGAATTTATGATTCAATATGTTCGTTGATTCGAGACGAATTCAGCTAAATGAACAATGAAAAAGAGATATAAAAAAATCAACCGACCGAATGGAGTATCTATCTATTTCAGAAAAATTTGATCGATAAAGAAATTAATTTTTCCTTTTTTTGTTTTATTATTAATAAATTTTAATCAATAAATTTTATATTCCTATAAAGTTTAGAATAAATATATCATAAAATTGATCGAAAAGTTATAATAAAATACAGAATTTTTATTAGCAACAATTACTTCATGTTTATTTTTTTTTCACTGCATCTTATTTATATTATATATTTAAACACTGTGTTCATTACGGATCGCCAATATAAAATTTTAATAAATTTGTATTTCTTAAAAAATAAAAAAATTAATTATTAGAAATTAATAAATTGATAATTATAAAAACTACAAATATCTAATATTTAATTAATTTTGATGTCATTCAATAAAAGAAATCGATATCTCGTTTTTTTTTCGATTCAGATAAAAATCGATTCGAATTTCAAAAAGTTATTACAGATGGCGTTACGATTTATCATAATGTGCGAGCGTTCGAGATGGAACGAAGCGATCGAGATATAATCTAAGGATCTGTTGTTAGGTGGTAAATGTGAAGGAATCGCATTCCCTTGTGGTTAGGTAGTTTAATTGGAATTGATGTTGCAAGCCCAGTGTTACAATCGACGCAGTACTAACCCGCGTAACTAATTAACACGCCCAAGATAATCCAAGTGAATCGCATCTAAGCAATAGTTCCCTCGTGAGGGAGGTGATCGAGCGACTATAGAGGTTATGGGAGCGTCAGAGATCGAATGTTCAATAAGAAGATTTATGTTGGATTAAATATAATTCTCTGCATATAGTACTAAAGATACTGTATTACACACACATGTATTCATATACGTTATACATTCTCTATCTCCTTTCAAAATTGGTCAGATATAATCTCAAACTATGATTAATTAATATGTAATAAATATTGTAATTGTATCAAATAAAATTTAGGTTTTCATGTTAGGTTAAGATAAAAAAAGTTAGAAATAAAAAGATTTATAAAATATATTATTTGATTATTAATTAATTATAAAGTAAGATTTTTGTTATCGCAGTCAAGTAAGGAATCCTAACCTAAAAATAGTTATACAAATTCTATCTAAAAAACGGATTTAGATTATTAGAATTAAATATATTTATTTTATTTACTTAAGTATAGATATTATATTTCATATATATTTTATTTAAAGCTTTCTCATTTATTATTACTAAATAAAATTACAGTGTTACATATGTAACCAATTAAATAATCATATTCAAACTTCAAAAAATTTTCTTAACACATATTCGAACAGCCACTAGTAATTTATTCAAATACCGAAATACTCGAAGTTCGCACGAGAATACTCTAGAAGCATAGTCGGATTTTCCTCGCAATTTCGTTTGAAATCCCGTTATAACATGGAATTCATCTCGAAATTCGCCAATTTCGAGAGCACTTTCAAAAGTTCGCGGACTCGAGAATGCATCGAGAAATTTCGTTTATCCACCAACTCTTTCTTCGATTATACAATTCAAACTCGAGTCCTCAATGTTTCATATATCAATTTATTTTATCAGAATTATACATTGAGATATATACATTGAATATAGAGATATTGATATATATATAACAAGAGGAAATGATCGAGATAAAAA